AGGAAACACACAACACAAAACTGATTCTTCCCCCAAACAGCTTACTCAAAAGTGGAACAAACCAGTTATGTTGGTGCTAATATGGTGTCTATGGCAAGGCCCCTCCTCTTGTGTCAGCACTCTTCCTGGTCGACAGTCATGTCATACTGGTTCAAAACCAAAAAAAAGTCCATTCTCAATAATCCAGGTATACAAGCCAACGATTTTCAGTCAGGTCATCTGGACAGTTTCTTTTTATTTTTGCTGAAACATTTCACCTTCCATCCAGAAGGCCACAGAGACCATCTTAGCACCAACTTAACTGGTTTGTTCCACTTTGGAGTAAGCTGTTTGGGGGAAGAATCAGTTTTGTGTTGTGTGTTTCCTTGACTGATGAAGCCTTCCGGATGGAAGGTGAAACGTTTCAGCACACACAAAAAAAAAAACTGTCCAGATGACCTGACTGAAAATTGTTGGATTCTAAAGGGAATGTTTCTCCGGTTCTTACATCTGTTTCTTCCTGACTCTTTCAAATCAAAATGTCTGCTGTGAACAAGGTGGTTAGGTTGTCTATATCTTGCACCCTGCGGCAATGAAAAATGTTATTTAAATTTTACTAAAAGAATAAAATAAATAAGATTTGTCCATTGTTCAAAGATAGTATCCAAATAATTATATAAAAGGACTGTATTTATATCAATCAATCAACCTTTATTTAGACAGGTAAATCCCATTGAGCCTCGAGGACTCATTTACAAGAGAGATATGGTGCCTTTCTATCTTAGCAATTAAGGCACTTAAAGCACTTTACAACACAATCTGTGCCCTCGTTTAAGTTCAGGTTCCAGTTCATTTATTGTCATTCACATCACATGTGGTGCATGAGGTGGAACAAAATTGTGTACTCAGGGTCTCAGTTACACTCAAACAAAGCAAAAATATATAGTATAAAAGAGGCAGTATAAGGATCTAAGATATACACTAAGATAAATACTAAATGATAGAATTTCTAAGATATACTAATAATAACACTAATAATATAAAATAAAAATTTACACATTTATAGCCTGTCTATATAAAAAATAATCAGTACTTTTAGATCACATTCATACACAGATGGGACACACATCAGAGGCAATGAGGGGTTCAGTGTCTTGCTCAGGGACACTTCAACATGTGACTGCTGGTGGAATCGAACCCGCAGCTCTCCCAGTGGAGAACGACTGCTCTAACCACTCAGCCACAGCCGCCCCAATACAAACAAATACCATCTGGTGTTTGAATAAAACAAAGATTTACTGACTTATTGTCCAAAACTGGCATATATGTCTCCATGAACAGCTGTTTTATTTTCAATGTATTTCTTCAAATAATCACATTTGTCCTAAATATACAGTCACCATATTTTGACAAATGCTTAGACATTTATGATTTTTTTTTTTGAAGAAGCTCTACGTTTGAAATGACAGTGCAGTCCTGTGTGATGCAGCATTACAGCTTCATGTTAAGTCTCTTCAGAACCACGTGTAGAACCTGTTGACGGGACGTCTGAGCACCGCTGTAGTTATGACATCACTCCCAGTCTGCTCCCGCAGGAGAGTGTCTTTTAAAGCCTTGCCGATAATGCCATTCTCATCTGCTGCTTGGGTCTAGGTGTGTGTGACAGACTGTGAAGATGTGCGCAAGTGTGAGACCGCGTGTCTGCGTCCCTAAAGACATTGTCTTTGTTGTATTGTGTGTTGTCTTTGTGCCGTGTAGCAGCTGTGCTCAGAAATGCTTCAGTGAGCCCACACAGGCTGTGCAGCATTCGTGCAGGATGTCAGAGTTATCCACCATCACACTGTAAGTGTGTGTTGTGTGTGTGTTTGGCGTGGGTGTGTGTCTCTTTGTGAGTGTACGACTGTCTCATGTGTGTGTTTTTATTTTACAGTGGTTCCTGGGGGGTTTCTTTTTAATTATAAGAATTTATCAAATGCCTAAGGAGCCTAACAAACAGAAAGTACAAATTTAAAGACAAAAATGTGAACATCTTTTTGCATTTGGTGAACTTTTGACTTTCTTGCTCAGATTTAGACAACGATAGTATTATCTCACATACCGCTCACTAAAACTAGATGTGGACAAAATTAGTTTTTATAGACAGAAAATTTCAATAAAATGTATAAATTCGATTTTTTTATGGTGGAAGATGTTGTATTGTTAATTCAATTGTCTGTGAGCAGGTACTAGTTTGGAAATATGAGCAGTAAATTGTGTTGCAGTTTGCAGTTTCTACCACAAGAGGGCACTGCATCCCTTGACGCTCCAAGTTTTACAGTTACGTTCATTACTTTAAGAGACAACACACACCAAAAACAAAAATAGTTGTGGTTTAAAAATTAGATATGACTATTAAAAACCTTTTAAAAACACAGAAGTTGCATAATCCATTATGCAAATTATAATCCGAATTAGAATAAGTGTCTTTTGCCAGACTTTACGAAGAAGCTTAATTACTCCACGTTATCACATAAGAGTGTTTGTCAGCTGCATGTTGTTTAAATCACAACATTGATCTGATCTCATACAGTCCAACTGGCGTCTGTGTTGCAGCACACAATGTTTTTGATTTATGATTTATCTTAATTCATTTAAAATACTTAAAGTATTGTGTCGATCACATTTGCCTGCAAACCGGCTCTTGGAATTTTCTTTTTCTTGATAAATATGATCTAATTTTGAATCTGTTATCAAACAGACTATGTGATTAAACCCCTTGCCAACATATTTATGTTGTAATTGTACTTTAACTCCATGAAAACAGGTGAAATCTGCACTGCAGTCGCAGTTAGAACCGACTATAACTAACATCTGGTTTGTAGATGGGATTTGAACAAGGTCTTGCTTGCTTCTGAATGTGAACGGGATTCTATTAAAGATAACTTATTTATTTATACATCGACTTTTCTAATTCTCAGCAAGAAAGTGAATCAGCTGAAAGATCCCTGGGACCACAGGCCTGCTTTGTGAAAATACTTGTTTTGCACATCTGTAAAGTTTTCAGTGTGATTGTTGTGACTATATTTTTTATATATTTCCATCTGTCATGCTCTGTATTTTGGCTGTACAATAATGCATTTTTATTGTATATTTTGTGGAAAACGTAGCCGTAGATGGACCACAACAATAAAATGATAGTAAAAGATTAAGATAGGCACTAAATGTTTTTCTTATTGTCAACAAATCAGGAGTCTCTGCTCAGCTTGGTCTAAAACAGATTCGTTCATATGAAGAGAACTGAACTTTTACTTTAATGTTATGTGAGTAAATGGTAGTTTAGAGGCCAAATGTTTTACTGTGGTGTGAGTGGGAATGACTCAGTAAATCCAGTGGACTTAAAGGATGGAGTTTATCAAACCATTAAACTAATTTTATTTTAAAGTTAATGATCGATTTCTTATCATTTTTATGCTCTTTTGGTAGGATTTGTTGACAGAAAGAAAAATACAGAATCTCATCAGTAATATTTAATCTGTAACTGTGTTATTGTGGAACAGCTAAGTTTTCATAGTAATAAATGTGAGGATTAATATTTTAGAGCAGATGCACTCTTTAATGTTTGTTTGCTTCAACGATGAAACTCTTGCATCACCTGAAGTCGACCCACAGAGTTGAACTCACGTTCTTTTCACTTGTTTGTGACACACAACTGGATCAAAATAAAAATCTCCACTGTCTGTGTGTTCAGGCGTCTGGCGCGCTCCACCCTCCTCCTCATCCCCTTGTTTGGGATTCACTACACTGTGTTCGCCTTCTCACCTGAGGATGTCAGCAAGAGGGAGAGGCTGGTCTTTGAGCTGGGGCTTGGATCCTTCCAGGTCTGTGCCAGTCAATGTATATGTCTTTTTGTCCATCTATTAACACAGAAAAACACACAGTTTATAGATATTTGGTTACAAGATGCAGACATTAAGACACATTTTTACCATCCAATTCTGATTTGTCATTTCCGTGCTTCTCCTCAGGGCTTTGTGGTCGCTGTTCTCTACTGTTTCCTCAATGGGGAGGTAAGTTATCCTTTTTATCAGTTTATATGTACGTTATCTTTTTTTTTTTTTACAAAAGAAGCTCTCTAAACAGATATAAGAACAAAAATGTTAGATATAATTTATGTTTTATTGTGCCGTCTGTGTGTTTTATTGTCAAATAAGTCGCAAAGGACTGTTAAAACAAGAGTCATCAAAAGTGTATGGGTATTTTATTTATTATAAAAATACTGAAATAGATATCCTGATGCATGATCAATAATCCATGTTTCTAACAAGGTTAAGTCAGGTCCTCTGAACAGATGTTAATTTGTTAATCCGTCCAGAGGCCCTGACTCAAACTTGTTAATCTGAAATGATTAAATACAAAATAAAAAACAGAAAATATGTGTAGCTAGATTGTTTCTAGATTCACAATCTTTAGGGCAATCATCCTCACACTTTTTCTCTGCTAAACCAGCAGCAAAGCGCCTTGTACGTGCACAGTTTGTGTTTTTATTCATGCACATAATCACAATAACATGAGATTTTTGTCTTTTATTCCAGCAGGGTAAAAGTCACGTTTCAGTCATTTGTACAGTATAAAACTCACTAAATTTTTATTCTTTTACTTGGTTTATAATTTGACAATAGAAACAGAAGAATGCTGAAATCACTGCAGCTTTGATGAAAGTTCAACTGTGAAAAGAAATAAATACACGAGCAGGAAGGAAGGGAGAGAAGAAAGCCAACAGGCTGAAAGAGACTGGCATATAAAGCAAAATACAAATGTATTAAATGGGTTATTATTTCAGTAAAAAAGCTTTTGAGTTTTACCCAAAAACCTTAAGTTCAAGTTCAAGTTGTGTTTTTCTGTCATATGCAGGTTAACAGTACAATGAAATGTTCAGGACAAGAAGAACTGATTTGACTCAGTAAAAAAAAAAAAAAAACTAAAACATGTAATAAGGGTACAAAATAAAGTATGAAAAAGTAAAATATGTTATTTAGAAGGTCCTACAGAGCAATAGTAAACAACAGCATGGTAGAATATAATGATACAAGTACGATGAATTTGTCTTAATAAGTATTTCAAAGTTGTAATATAAGCTGTCCCGGCCCCGACAACATCAAAAAAATTGTGGGTGGGGTAGGTGAAACACCCACACTTGCCCCCACCCTCATTCGCCCCACTCTGGGCCCATGAGCAAGGTCCTTAACCCCACCATGTGCTCCCTAAACAGGTCTCTCTTGAAAATGAGTTCTCGTGGCTCAATGAGACTAACCTGGATAAATAAAGGCTAAATGAAAAAGAAAATGCACGTGAGACAGTATATATTGTACATAACTAACATGTACTGCAGGTTGTGTGACAGGTTATTACATAGGTAGTGAGTAACACTGAGATGAATTATGAAGGTAAGGTAGTGACATGCATGATACAGCCACATGGTGCAGCAGCAATAGACATATTAGCTGTCACAGCTAACATTAGACATATTAGGTGTCACCAGGGGCGATTCTAGAATCTGCCCTTTAGGGGTGCTGAGCCCCCAGTGCTGACAATGGCTCTTGGCTTGAACAATGTGGTGGCCATTGGCATCAGAAGCATTCAAAATGTGAGGGGTGTACACCCTGGTGGGGGTTCTGTGGGTTCTCTCCCAGAAAATTTTGAATAAAGTAAATGCCATTTCTTGCATTCTGGTGTATTTTAATGGGCTGTTAAACATTTGTGTTTACCTACATAAATAAACACTAGATTCAATAGCTATTTTACAGTTAATGGCACAACAAGATGTAGCACTAAGCTGTGTGCAATACCGACATGCTAGCAAAGATGCTACAGATGTAGCACTCTGCTTTACATTACACAAACTAATAAACACTTTGTACAAAATCAGTTCAGTGTTAACTAATTATAACAAAGACTAAACGTATGCAACCAGAAATTACAACATATATTTACATTCATAACAAAGCACGACTAGTTTAAGCATTAACTTTTAATTTAACCATTAAACATACCTGCAGTTACCTTCATATAGATGAACATGTGGGACTTCCTGTTTATCACTGTTGTATTTAGCTGATCATGCAGGGCTTTATCATCTTTTACATCTTTCCAGACTCAGTTTAGGTTTTGGAAATGGAACAAACTGTATTCCACCCTCTAAATCAGGACTATTACTAAACTGCTCAGGGGGGCATAGTTACTGAAAGCCAGCAGCTCAGGGTCCGGACATCCAGCAAATAAAGTCATTATGTAAATAAACTAAGTATTACAATGATCTGTTACTTTGTTGTATTGAATCATAAAATGCAATAACAGAACCTAAAACCCCAACCCAGAACCACAAAAAAAAAAAATATATATATATATACAGTGTATATGGATGGATGGATGGATGGATGGATGGATGGATGGATG